CCCCCCCCCCCCCCCCACAGTGGATCCCGCTCACGTTTCGCTGGACCAAAAAGCATGCCAGATTACGACAGAACACACATTAGACACACGCAGAGTCTGCGCATGCCATAAAAAATGGGGAGTCTGGTGGCACACCTGGGTGCAGGCTCACACCGCGTCAGCTATTTGTGCCCAATCCGCGCGCGTCAGTTAACTGACTGGCGCGGACAGTAGACTGATGTCTGGAAGAGGAAAGGGGGAGTGAGGTCGACGGTTTCGGCGCATATTCCTCACTATACACAACTTGTCAAGTTTGAACCTATCACAATGCTCAAATAAGTGGTGAATTGGAAAGCTGCCGACTGACGGGATAACTCAACCCTAGCAGTCAGCCCAGTGTGTGGTTGTGTGAAGTGACGGACTGGTGGACAGTGAGTCAGGCTGCAACGCCTGGTTAATTTAGCTGATATGGCACTCCTATTTGCATGGGATCTGAGCTGATTGCTTCCTGTTTCCGTAAAAAGCTGGTCCGACGCGTGTGACACACATAAACGGGCAGTGGACCGCTGTCAGCCGCTGCGTCCGATCCTGCCTCCGGCGGCCCCGACTCTCTTGCCGCCGCGCCCAGGAGTGTGAGAGAGGTGAACGTGTGTGAGTTGCTGTGTAAGTCGCAAGGAACTAATTTACCCTCAAGTCACTGTCCTGCGCCTGCCACGCTACGGGCACCCTGTGGACGTTCTTGTCTGCAACGTTTGAACTGACGATGTCATGCACCTTTTGGAAGCATCCATATGCGTGGTCGGTGAACCGCGTTTTCAGCTACATGTGACCTCCCTGACCGATGCTGAAAGGTTTTCTGCCGCAGGCGTGAAACCCACCCTATTTTTTTATCATCTTCGCTCGCTAGTCTTTTGTTGCACGCCCAGACTTGACTGGGAAGGGGCAAAGGTGGTCGTCGTCGTCGTCATTGGCTAAAATCATAGAGAACCTTCTTCTCTTTGAGCAACATAGAGCAAGACATCCTCCACGCCGAACACAGTGGCGCACTGGTCTACTAATCATGATATAAATCACTATCTTGCCACAAATTGATGAGCATCGCCAGGGAAATATCAATCAAGTGGAGCTCAGACCCAAGTGCTGCAGTGGACGAGGTTTCGCCCATCTCATTATGTCACTGAACAAACTATCGACGCCAGTGTGTGTCTCGCTTTCCTCCTCTTTTTCTTTATTGTCCTGCTCCCTATTCCTTTTATCTGTCATTTGTGGCTTTCCAACGCCGACTCTGTGCGAACTCTTGAGTGCTGTGCCTGTGCTCGCTTCTGATCAAACAATATGCCAGATAGTCTCGTGCTTGTCGCTTAGAATTTCTCACTATTTCCTCCTTCTTCACCTCTTCTCTCTTTAGGAGATTTACCCTTGCCTGAATCCTGCGCTCTGTATCGCCTCACCCATGAATCGGCGGATCAGCAGCTGGATCTCATCGCAGCACCCACTTGTGTCCCACAAATCAACAGCTCCTGCACCTACCCGCCCGATTCCCTTGTTCGTCTGGTCTCGCTCCTGCCTAACTTTCGTCTAGCAGGCGGCCTTAATATGCCCAAAATAATCACCATTCTTTGCTCCGATGGCCGGAAACGACGCCAGTTGCTAAAGTGTCGGGATGACCCACGTCAGGACGCGATCATGCAGCAGGTAAAAGATCACCCCTTTTCACCCAACCCTTCTGGTTGAAAACCGCGACTGCGGGAGTTCGACAGGACTTCTGGGGTCTTTTCTTATCATTCCCAAATACTTTTACAAGTAAGTCATAAGAAGGTGGGGCGTGTGTGAATCATTGACCTGTCCTTCGGAGTTACCGGCCAGGAGTCCTAGTCTGGCGTTTTTAACTGTCAAACTGAACCCGTTAACGGCATGACTTTTCACTCCGCTTGTTAAAATCAATGTCTTGTGATATAGCTTCCCTCACGATCCGTGTCGGTGGAGACAACGAGGAATCATTATAGAAAGTTAGCTCCTCGGATTTCCGCTAGTCTTTGACCTGGAAAACAGGAGCTATTGGGATGTAATAAGTGTCGAAGTTGGTCCGTTTTGCTTGTCTTTATACTCTTTGGGAAGACTTTTTGATGGAAATATTTTAAAGTTGATGAGAGTAATTAGGTTTTTTTAAAATTTTTGCGTCCTAAAGCATACCTTCAGCAGAAAACGTTCAAACACTGTTTTGAATGCTGCGAATTTATGGGTACTGGGTGTATTTAAAATCGGAGTCGCCTTTATAAGATGTTTTGAATGAAGATGCGCGGAGGTTTCCTTTTGACTAGAATCACCAAAACATTTTTTCTACGTGCTATTTTGATTTGTTCTAATTGTTTTGAGTGTGGGATTTTTCCATGTTTCAAGACCACCTGTCTCCACCCTAGGTAGCGCGTTGGAAAGTGTAGCGGAATTTTTTCTACTGAACTGTAAATCTGTAAAATCCTCCAAAAACCTTAAGCAACTATGTACTTGGTCGCGTTCTCCGGGGAAAACGAATCAGCACTCGTTTTCATCCCACTAGAAGGTTTAACTACTCTCGTTTCTACCGTTTGTCGTCGTCTTTATCGCCCTCTAACGTTCGTAATCACATGTCATTATCTCCTATTTTTTTCGCAACGAACCAGAAACAGAGGGGATCTTATCGTCACGTCAGTGCGTAAACCCATCTCCAGTCGTCTTAATCCTGTCTACGCCATTAAAACAAAGAGTTTGGGGGAGGGGTTAAGCCTATGCTGAGCGAGTTTCCCCTGCCTTGCGTCGTAACCGCAGGTTTTGAGGCTAGTCATGCACATAATCGAGTTTGTCGAAAAGATTACCACGTCGTTTTTACTCGGATTTATATTGCAACATTGGCCAGATTCTTCCACAGGTACCTTGGCTTTGTAGGTTTTTACAGCAGCCAACCACCTACTGGCAGCCCACGCCTACGATGTGATGCCGTTTACCGCTGCAACGACCTCCAGCACCGCCAATCAAGCTCAGCGGTCCACGTCTACCTCAAACCCTTGTCTGTCACGTCATCCTATGCGAATCCGCACTTATACGGTCCGTGTATAGTTCACTTTTGTTGGTTCTTGTATGTTCTTCTCGGTTTGCAGTTCCTTCTCTCCAGTTCCTGTTTCGGGGCTTTGTTAATGTGTAAATTGAGAGCAGTATTTGTTATAGCTCACTATCTGAGAGGTTGGAACGGGCCCGATGGGTGTACTCTTACTTCTGTCTCCGAAGCTGGTTATTCTAGGCCAGATGTAGCCAGCAGCACTCGTACGACATGAATTCAGTTTGATTGTCCCCTTTTGTGTGGGACACGCAGTTATTTATGTTCAGTTTTTCAGGTCTTGCCCCTCAGATGTCACCCTTCTCAACTTTGTCCACCTTCTTGACTTCCTTTCTTCATCCACTACTTAGGTAATTCCTCTGGCACGCCGAAGCGGTCTTATCGAGTGGTGCGAGGGCACCGTGCCACTTGGGGATTGGTTGGCTAACGAAACCAGTGGTGCTCACCAGCGCTACCATC